GGCTTATTAAAACACCTCTTTGCAAATAGTCTGCAATTTATTTTTAAAAAGGTAGCTAAGGTTCATGTATATTTTGCACACTCCCTATTTAAAAATAGATGTTGAACTAGGAATTTCAAGCTATCATTATCACATATGGTTTCCTGTTTGTCATGTGCTTCTTAAGAAGTCTTAAAATTAACATAGATGTTGTGACACCATACTAAAAAGCAAACAGATGGTACAGTATATCCTCCCCCGTCCAGGCACCAGGTTGGGCAATTCACATGGACTGTGTTTAAGATGAAACAATTCAGGATATTAATTTTATTAGGCGCATGCAGAGAAGAAATACCCAGAATGCACCAACTGGCTTAAAGAGCACGAAAGCCCCACTGATTTCAATGAAAGAGAGCGAAGGACATGCTTCGACAACTTAATTTGGGTTAGCACTTACATCTGAAAGCGTCCTCTTTTAAACATTCCAAGGACCCCACTCCCAACCTTTGACATGAACCGCTGATAAAGAAATCCCATAGTAGTTCAGACATACCAGTCTCCCCTTACCTCTTAGAGACTCTGTAATGTGCTGTGGTCAGTTTCCCAGTCTGAGGGTCATGCACAGTAGCTCGGCTCAGCTACGGAAAAAAAAAAAAAAGAGAAAGGACAAGGGCTTACTCTAGTAGCAAGCATCTGGGCCAAGCCACAGGCAATTGGGAGGGTTCCGATTGGTCTGGATGGAATGTAATGCTCAGATCAGCAGGAACGCTTAAAGGATTGCAGTAGCTACTGCTACGTCTCAATTTATTTCAATTGGTTGAATCAAATTTGGTTAGATTGTCCTTTCACTTTTTCTTCCCCAAATGGAAAGCTTATGCAAGCCACTTGTATCTGCCAAGTTTCACAGAGAACTTCTTAGGATCCAGAAGTTAAATACTCTTCATTTCTTCCACTGCCTCCAGTTATTCTTTCTTAAAATGGGTGTGCAATGTTGACTGAGTATTTTTTGAAAAAAATAATAGGTTACATATTTAAGCTTTCTGAAAGTTAGGGTATTCTAATAATTGACAGGCCCAGAGGATATGCTATAAATATCTGTAAATGTTCTATCTCCACTAAGAAATTGTTTTCAAATCAAAAGTGGGGTAGGCATTTAAAATAGAACAAATAAATGGAATGAATTAACAAAATCAAAAAGTCTCTAAACAAAAACACATTTCATTTTGTCTCTATAACGATGTCTGATCAGAACCAGCATAAGAGCTGGATTTTAGCCAGAGAGATTGGAAATTCCCAGTATAGGAGACATGTTGGAGTTCCACACAGGAGCAGGATAGAATTATTTTATAATTTTAAATTATTCAAATTGTGTATACTCATAGGAGGCACCCATTTTCAGTAGTTATATATGGAACAACTGAGTAATAACTAGCAGTGGCGTTAAGAGGAGTTCATGTGAGCAAATAGGGTATTTTGAGATTCAAACATTATATAAATCTATACCAAGCTAGACTTAACAGTATACATGGCTCCAATAAAACCAAACAGGAATTAACCATAGAAGGGCAGAATAACAGTTGGTGTTACAATCAACGCACTGTTGATCTTGCTGTTTGTCACCGAAGACAAATTCCTTGTATATATTTTATACTTGGTCATTAAAGTATTTTGTATTGTATTGTATTGTACAATGGATATATAGAAGGAATTAACCATAGAAGGGCAGAATAACAGTTGGTGTTACAATCAACGCACTGTTGATCTTGCTGTTTGTCACCGAAGACAAATTCCTTGTATATATTTTATACTTGGTCATTAAAGTATTTTGTATTGTATTGTATTGTACAATGGATATATAGAAGCAGTTCATATTTTAATATCAGAAACCCAATTTGCAGTACACAGGAAGCAGAAAACTCTGCATACTGGTAAACAAATTATTGTTCATGCCCATATCATCAAGAAAAGTATCATTCCAAAACAAAAAGAACCTAGACAGATGGGAAAACTTTCAAACCACAAGGCAGAAAGCAACATGAAATCTCTTTGTAAGTTATACCAGGCATATAGAAATAGACAAGAAACATACCCTAAATAAGCAAATAAGGACAAAACGTCTGGTTACAAGAAGTGTCTGAGAAACTCAGCAGTAACAGAGTGTTACAGTGTCCGTGAATAGCACAAATGACCAGAAAACTTTTAAACCGGCTTTCTTTTTCTGGCCACTTTCTACACAAATGAGCACCGCAGAAGGCCTCATTACAAGGACGGAACATATGGCAAGTAAAGTCTTACCTTTTGCTAATTCTGTAATGTGCAGTCTCCAAGACTCCCGTTATGGGGTTTGAAATGGTGGCTCGCCTCAGCTGTGAAGCGAACCAATCAGAATAGTTGCATTACAATGTATATATTGCATCGCATTAATCCGACCATTCAGAAGCCTAGGGCAGAGCCCCACTTCCAGTAGGGTTCTCTTTCATTAAGGAACAAGAACCACCACCACCAAACAAGAAATGTGGAATACAAAGCAAATAAGAATAACAAAAATAGTAATATTAAGTACAATGCAGTACTGAAATCTTTTGCCGGCCCAATGCTGCATTTTTGTAGTGCGTTAGAAGGAAACAATCTGGGCCTTTCCTGAAGCAGCAAGCCGCTGCACTCTCATTCTGAAGTGGGGAGGCGTTACAGAGTGCAAGTGAGCACTGTACGCGCTACTTACCTTCCTGGTGCCCCTAAAATAAAAGCAGGGAAAAATCACCCACAGAGATCACTGAGAAAAGTCAGCTAGATTAAAGCACAACTTCGAACTCACAGAAGTGCTGCTGGCCGAGCCAGCACATACACAAAACTGCTTATGGAGTGACATGGACAAAGAAAGAGAAGCACGTCAGAAGCTAATCTCAACGTAGAAGGATGGAGCTGCATCATAAGTTAAACAATGCATCATTTCTAAAATTTCCTCTTTCCAAAGAAAGGCAGTCTTTGGATTCCTATAAAAGAACTCCTATCTGAAACAGGTGACAAGAAGAAAAACTTTACTGGCAACTTTCCAATTCAGAATCTTAAATCCAGGCTTCCTTAAACGTTTAGTAGACCAAAATTTGTTTTAAAAAATGCCTTGATACTGTATGGACCAATCAGACATACCTTCTAATAACTTGCTGTGTGATAATTTAGTCATAGAGGAATAAGAATATACACTACTGTACAGAAATAATCACATATACAATTATCTAATATTATCATTAGAATTATATCTGAATCTACTATTAGAATTTGTCTTGGCAAAGGGAAAGCATTACAAAAATTAAACATAGTACGAATGGTAGTAATATTTACCAGTTCACCTGTAATAAAGTACCCTCAAGCTTTTCATTACTGCTTTTTACAACAGCCTTCCAACACAGCATGCCTACATTTTATCTAACATAACTGCTGGACAAGCAACAATTGTTCAGAGAAAACTAGGTCAGACTATTTGTCAATCTATTCTGGCACTGCCTAACCAGATAAGCAATAGCTCCTCTGTATTTCAAATATAAGATGGAGATGCCATTAAGATCAGGGACTGCAAGAGAATATTTAGCATGGCGCCAAGAGCTGCTATCAAGAAGCAAGAGTTGGGGCAAGGAAATTATTCATGGTCGCATTGTTTAAAGAGTGTGGACAATTTAGATTCTTTACCCTTGGTTTGGAAAGTTCTTTGACAGTTTCTATTTCTTCATCAGAGATTATTTCAAGAAAGCGAACAATCCGAGGGCGGTCCCACTCATCCTCTTGTTTGACAGGTCCTAGTATGTACTTCGGGTTTCCATTCCCATCATAATAACGGCAAAACAATTTCTTTTGTCTTCTAGGAGTCTAAAGTTTTGAAATGAAGTGTTAAGCGTTAGTAACCCAATGCTTACTTTTCATAAACAAGTATTCTGTAATACTGGTATTGCATGCAAGGGACAACTACCATTTTAAGACCTTCACCACGGCACAACATTTCATACTTCTGTCTTTCTGGCAGATAATCTTTGGGAGGCCCTCTTTTCTGAGTTTTAACTTCTTTTCCAGTCTGCTCATCTGTTTCGGCAACAGATTTGTTTGCTTCTTTTTCTTTAGCCATGATGTATTCAAAGTATTTCAAATTTCCATTTGCTCTCTGATGCTCTGGATCTGTTGGAAAAGCATGCAGATGACTGTTTCGCTCACTTAAGGAAGGCTATTTTTAAGAGATTTTGTACTTGTTTTTTGGGTTTAGTTGTCATCGTTAAGGCCTGATGAAATCTGAATATATCAGCACTTAATCCACTTATGTCAGCTGGAATATATGCACGTTTTCATATGTATAAATACCTAACTCACAGAAGCAAATGACATGTACAGTGATGGCAAAAGATGGCCAAAAAATTAATGCTTCCTTAAACCATTTGTAGTTACAGTGATTCCCAACAGCATTCTGTCCTTCACTCCATTGCATCAATTAGTTTGAAAAGTCTGTACATCCGAGTGGAAAATGTGTGGAACAAAAGCAGTGCAAACATGCTGAATAAAAGAAAAATTAACCTACCCAGTTCAAGTAACCGTTTGGTGAGAATCATCGCTTTGTCCAGATCCCCCTGCTGGTACACGGCGTAACTCAAGTAATCTAGAACAGAAATTTTGTTGATAGAAGAAGAAATCTCTCCCTCATCCAACTGCTTCAGAGCTTGCTCCATCCACAATTCAGTATGGTAATAGTCTGCTTCAGTGTATGCGATCTTTCCCAACTCAAAGCAATCTTCAGCTGTTAGAAATGCCTTATGTTTTACTCCTGAGGGGAATAAGAATCCAGCAACAGCTGTTAAAAACCTCTTGAAATCCTGTGATTCTGCACTTATGCTTTCTTTCTGCAGCTACACTGTTTAATTCTTATTTCCTCATTAAGAACACTCGATAGACTACTGCAGTTATTTAACTATTTTCTCTACTGATAATTTTTCATTTTGCAATTATTGCAATGAGCTGGATATATTCAAATATAATTTTTCAGATAAAGCGTTCTAAACTGGAAACTTTTCTGTAATTTTGCATTTACGTTAATATTGCATTTTTCTAACACGATATTCCTAAATATAATTCAGTGGTGCATCTGTTACTGAAAGTTTGATTAGTAAAGATTTTAGATGACAAAAAGACTTTTTAAAAGCACTCTATTGCTTTTTTTTTCAATTTCCTAAGTTCTACCAGTCCCAACAGAATCGTGTGACAGAGTCTACCTAATGGCTTTGAGAAAGGGAGGGGGAGCATTTTCACACAGAATTTTTAGCACACAGGCTAGATATGCCTTTCATCGTGCAAGAGCAACTGGCCTCTAAAAAAACAGAAGATCAAAGGGAAGCAAGTCCTGTCAAAGCAAATCTGGGGGAAAAAAAACAATTGCAAGTTTCAAATCACATGAGGAGCATCATTTGCACCTGACCCTGAATGTTATGGTGGGCTTGGTGGGAGAATAATCTTGATACAAATACTACTCAATAGTTTTCCTCTCTAATTCTCAGCCACCTTCAAAAATACAATGATCCTAGAACATTTTCTTAAGACAAAAAATACGCTGAGAAACGAGAAATCTTGAAAAAAGCTTCTTTCTTTGAAGATATTCAATCTCTTAAAATGACCAATATATTGATCTAGACCAGTCTAGACCAGATTTATTACACTATGCATTGATCTGAAAAAAGCGTAATATACAATCCAATTCCCTTCTCAGCTTCAGTTACTGATAGCAGCAGGACAAGGGCAAAAAACAAACAAACAAGCACAGAATGAAAACTTTTGTACCACAAGAGAGAAAACCAGAAATATTTAATACTAAAAAAAAAAAAATGATACCTATGATAGTAAACCAAATGCCTTTTATTATTTACACATGTTACGATGGCAATGCCCACACTTTTACTTAGTTACAGAACAAGTTCATGTGGGAGATCATTTGGTCCCATAAAAACTGCCATACTGTATGTTATCTTTAGTTACCATTTTTTTAAAGTAAAAACAATTGTTTTTCTTCCCCTCATTCCCAGCAAACTACGATCAGTGACTGTCCTCAAAAACAGAATTTTAAACAAGTTGAAGTGATAGTACAATCATGGTTTTGGGGGCAAACACAAATCACTGCCCAGCAGTTTGGATGGTGATGATGATAACAAATTATTATTGTTATGACTATTATTAATAATTATCATTATTATTATATTAATAATATATTATTACTCTGGGCAGCTTAGAAAAATTCAGAAACAATAAAAAACATTAAAAACCATTAAACACACATAACCATGTAAAAGCATGAAGCTTGGATGGAAATAACACCCCCCCAAAAAATAGACCATGCAGATACACCAGGGGTCCCAAGAAAATGTTAATAAAGCCGTTAACCCCAGGCCTGGGAAAAGAGCCAGGTTTTAAGAGCTTTCTGTAACCCCAGGACAGTGGGTGCCATTTGTATCTGTGGGAGGATGCTGTTCCAGAGGGTGGGGGCAACAACTTCCTCGGTCCCGCAAGATGGCAGCATTTAGCAGAGGAGACCTGGAGCACACCCACTCTGTGCAAATATACTTGGCAGGCAGAGACAACTGGAGATAGGCGGTCCCTCAGATAAACAGGCCATATGCCATGAACGGCTTTAAAGGTGAAGACCAGCACCTTGAATTGCACCTGGAAGCCTTCTTGCAGCCAATGCAGCTCGTGTAGCAGTGGGGACACATGGTCATATCATGAAGTGCCCATTACTGCTTGAGCTACTGCAATTTGTACCAGCTGTAGCTGCTGGATGGTCTTCAGAGGCACGTAGAGTGCATTACCATAGTCCAATTCTGAGGTAACTAGGGCATTTAATGGTTTGTGCTACAACAGAAAACTGTCATTAAAAGACTGTACAGTAAAATGGGCTGCAAACTTTGATTATAATATAAATATGGGAGAAAATGTGAGGAATTGGTGTTAAATTTACATTATGCTATAATTTAAGAGGGGACGTGGTGGCGCAGCGGCTTAATGACGCTGAAAGTTGCCGGCCAGAAATGGCTGAC